TTTCTATAACATGAGAAAATCTAAACCTAAATCTACTTGGTTAGCAATGAAATATTCTCAGAATGTTTACTGGCCCTATGCCATTTGAATATAGGGTTGCACTTTGCATGCTATTGAATGATCACAATAAAATTATTAGCAAAAATGACCCTTTCTGGTAGTTTATTAAATGAAGTTGGCTCATATGCATTAAAAGGAAGAAGTTCTTGGGACCAGCAGTTAGCATAATGGCTATGTCGCTGGACTCCCATGTAGTTGACCGAGGTTCGAGTCCGGGCACGTGTGCGTGCTTGCCCAAGATCCCGAGAGGAGAATGGAGGAAAAGGGATTGCGGCATGACCATCCCCCCTGGGGGGTGATTTCTCGCTTTCTGTCTCTCTGTCTTTCTGGCGAGCACACGCACCCTATTGCAAAAACCTCAAAAAAAATTTAAAAAAAGGGAAGGAGTTCTTACTTGAGCTACTTTTTGCAGCTTAAAACATAGTAAGTTTTAGGGAAAAAAAAAAGATTCCATATAATCTTCTATTTCTAAAAGGGACTAATTTATCATTTCTGGAAAATTTTCTTGATGTAAATGAGGCTACCTCCTGTATCACATTTAGGATTCCTTGTAATAAAAATCTATTGCCTTATAATTGCCAGCCATTTTTCTAGCTACATTTTAGGAGCAACATAAAATACCCTTTAGCAGGTCTGCACTAAATAAAAACAGCTCTAACCTACATTCTTTTCCTCTATGTTCTAATCATCAGCCCCACAGAATAGCATTAATGATTAATAGGAATTTTCTGCCTTACTTTGACCTTTGAACCTGTCACAATATCCAGCCAGGTCAACGAATCAATATATTTGAGAAAATGTGTTAGTTGTGAAGGTTCTCGGCCATCACAGAAGTTTGTTGCAAGGTTCTTTCTGTATCCCACGGACCACTAACTTTATCAATGCAACCACCTTGTCCTAGCATCCAAGACAATGATAGACTGGAACATGTGGGTTCTTCCTCCACCCCCCACCCCAGCTATTATTTGAGTTGATCCTTTATTACAACATGCTGTTTAAGAATGTCTTTGTCTCTTATTTTTGACATTTCCCACTTTATATTTTTGGTCATCCACCTGAAAAATACAGTGTAACACCTTTTTATAAAAGCAATTTCCATCCTTAAGTCTAACACATCCTAAAGAAATGAATAATAATAGCAATAAAGAAAATGTTAAAAAAAAAGAAAAAAAAAACCCTCCTAGCCTGTATTCAACCAACACTTGCACTACAAACCATAAAAACAAAAATTTCCTCCTGTTTGGACATGTAGACTTTCACAGAATTATAATTATTAGGTAGGGACATCAGGGAGGTAAAACACACAGCAGAAGTTGTCATCATGTCACCTAAGGTGACTTCCCCAATGTTCAAAGCCAGGAGCATAAATTACTAAAAGTTAAGGCCACTTAGAACAGCGAGTAAGCAAATTTAGATGGAAGAACTTCAAAAAGTTCATGAAAAAAATGGAATTAAGGCATGAGTTTATTTAGATTCATATTTTGTTTATGTAGTTTTTAAAGTTTTTACCATAGGGTATATATACTGACCAGAGAGAGAGAGACCATGAAAAGGAAAATGAGAAACCACCCTTCAAGGGGATGGCCACACCACAGTCCCTTCTCCTCCATTCTCCTCCTGGAATTTTGGGTGCACACATACACATAGTGTGATTTTTAAGCCACTGGATCTGGCACTTGAACCATGATCAGCCCTATGGGAGTCTAGTGTCTTAACCACCATACCACCTGCTGGCCCCTATGTAGTTTACAAATTGAAATCCATGCATAGTGTTATCTTAATATGCATTTCCATTAAGTTTTTGGAAGTCTCCTTGCATACTTGTTATACTGTTTCAGAAGATATAGTATCATGGAGTGCTGGAAAATTTCCTAGATTTATTTGCATAAATGAGGAATCAGGGAAGGATCACACTGACTGGCCTCTACCTGTCCACCTTGTTGCGTGTATAACAGGTGGCCCTCACCATCAGTTTGGGGCTCCTCTCCACCTGTGGGAACAAGCTCTTCCCACTGCTTCAATGGTCTGGAGAGAAAATTCTGATTTTTTTTTTTTTAATTCACTCTCAAATAACAAAAAAGTACCTCTGGTCCTTTCAACTCCAAAATAACAACTTCAGTACAGTCATCAGAATGTCTTTTGTATTCAACAGTCAAAACATCATAAATTGATTCAAAGTTGAAGCTACTGCCTAGGTCAGGTCCCTTTCAGTCCTCTTGTCTATAGTGGGAAAAGAGAACACCGACACTAGCCTCTCTTTTTCCTCTGCCCGTTTTCCTTTCCCCTTTCCTCCTACTCTCTGGGCTACTTCTGGCTCTTCCAGGACTAACGAAGAAGGGCAAAGCTAGTAGGAAGGACAGCAGGAAAAACTAATGTATGAGCAGTGCTGAGCTAGTGTTCCTCTGCTCAAGCAAATGTCTGAAGCTGCCATTTTCTCTTAGTGGGTTATTTGGAGTTCTCTCTCTTGTTATGCCTTGAGATTTACCATACTCAAAGAATCTCTTAAAACTTTTTTTTTAAAGGAATTATTTAATTTTATGTATCCATTCATTTATTTTACTGGTTTTTTTTTTTTTTGAGAGGTTTTTGCTATAGGACACATGTGCTCTCCAGAGAGAGACAGAGAGACAGAAAGTGAGAAATCACCCCGCCCCCCACGGGAGATGGCCATGCCGCAATCCCTTGTCCACCATTCTCCTCTCGGGATCTTGGGCACGCACACACATGTGCTTCATATGACTTTAAGCCACCGGGTCCGAAACTCTAACCATGGTCAACTACATGGGAGTCCAGCGACATAGCCATTACACCAACCGCTAGTCCCTCATTTATTTTATTTTGACCAGAGAGAGACACAGCAAGAGAGAGAGAAGTGAGAAAGCAAGCCACCAGGTCCAGGACGAAAGAGAGAGCAGGTCCAGGACTCAAACCATGGTGGACCAAGTGGCAGTGTCCAGTGTGTTAACTACTACCATGCCACCTGCTAGTTCCCCGGGACCTCTTAAAACTTTAGAACTCCCTTTTGGGCCCCTGATTTTCTTTTATGTCTTTTTTTTTTTTTTTAAGAGATTCTTGCTATAGGATGTATGTGCTCACCAGAGAGACAGAAAGAGAGAAAGTGAGAAATCACCCCCAAGTGGAGATGGCCATGCCACAATCTCTTCTCCTCCATTTTCCTCTCAGGATTTTGGGCACACATGTACGTGTGCCTGGCATGAGTTCTAAGCCACCTGGTCTGGGTGACTATGTGGGATTCCAGCAACATAACCAGTACACCACCTGATAGTCCCCAGGGTCCCCTGATTTTCAACTCATGTGCATCAGAGGTTTCCCTCTGTTGGCAACCCACTACCCTCTAGAAAGAGCTTATTGAGGGGATAAATGACTATTGAAGACAGCTCCAGGCTAGCTTGTTTTCCTGCCTGAAGCATGACAGATGTCAGGTCTGCAGGCCACATCACACCTTCAAACCCACAGTCCTCTCCTTGGTTTCAAGCCACTTAACCAGCCCCTCAGCTTTTAGATTACTCCAACTTGTCCATTGTACACCAAATTCCCAGAGCTTGCTTTATTTATTTATTTATTTATTTATTTATTTATTTATTTAAAGTTTTGGCCACAGAGTGCATGCGCTTACTGGAGAGCAATAGAAAGACACAGAGAGAGGAAAAGTGAGAAATCACCCCCCAATCTCACAGGGGTGGGCCATGCCACAATCCCTTCTCCTCCATTGTCCACTTGGGATTCTGGGCACGCATGTATATACACCGGCAAGGTTTTCAAATTGCCAGATCCAGAACTTGAACTGGAATTGGCCAATACCTTAACCAATATGCCAACTGCTGGCCCACCAGGACTACTTCTTAAGGTTAATGAGAAGCTTCCTTGAAGCCCCTCTCTATACTTAAAGTCATGGGAAGCTCTCTGCCATTACCCAGACTCACCACACTGAGCATTTTTTTTCCACAAAATATTCCTTTCATATATATTTTTTAAAGGGCTTTTGTTTTAATTATTTATTTATTTATATTATTTTTTTAAATTTTAACTAGAAAGAAAGTGAGAAAGCAAGCCGCCAGGTCTGGGACTTGAACCCAGTCAGCCACCAATAATCCAACACCTTAACTTCTATGCCACCTGCCAGCTCCCCTTCATAAAATAGTCTGCCTAGTTTCTAATGCTTCCCAACAGAATTGCCAGCCTTCCTTTACAAGCCTGGAGGTGGTAACTGAGCCAGGTGGCAGCACACACTCTCATGCTCCCCTCCTCACAAAGGCCCACATTAGTGTGTGTGTGTGTGTGTGTGTGTGTGTAGAGGGGGGAGCTGGCCCTCACTCTGGAATAGAGACATATTCTTCACTTATTTATTTTTTTCCTTTGAGGTCTTAGGTTAAACTGACAATAAAAGAAGAGTTAGAGGGAAGGAGAAAAAGAATGGTTGCCATATTAATATCTTCTTACTTCCTCATTGAGATGTATCATTTGACCTGTCTCCTTTCAGTATTAGTTTGCTCTTTTTCTCCTTTTATTTATTTTCTGTCATCCATTTAACTATAATAACATACCATAAACTTTTGGTCTATTATGAGAAAAATACCAAGGAAGGTACCCAAAAAATGAAATTGCATATAGATATTGAGATGGTCTTTTCACCATAGACTATATTAAGAGACACCTTATTTTTTTGGAGAATTATTTAATTTTATTTATTATTATTATCTTTAAATTTTTCTACAGGGCATGTGCCTTTACCAGATAGAAGAGGGAGAGAGACAGAGAGAGAGCCAGCCGACAGGTCTGGGACTCAAACCATGATTGGCCATGTGAGAGTTCAGTACCTTAACCACCATGCCACCTGCTGGCCCCACTTTATACATGCACATTTAATATAATAGTCATGAAAGTGAACAGATACAAATGTTTGTATTTCTGGTTCCTAGGCCGAGATTATGAAAAGGAAAAAGTATGCAAAGAATTTATCAGTCTGGGGAAGGAAGACTTCACAACTCTGTAAGTGCACAGTATCCAGCTCACTGTCTTGTTTACTTAACCTTGAACAAAACCGAGTGGGAGGTAAGGTCAACGCAGCATGGAGGGTTAGAGGGTCGAACTGATCTCTGCTAAGGGTAAGAGGATATAACCTCAGGGTCAGCGTGGGCAGAGGTGTGAGGCAGATGGAAGACATCCAAAGATTCTAGTTGAATTGTGCTTACTGTGGTCCAAGAACTTGTTACCAGTCAGTTTATTAATGAGTTAGGAGACAATAAGTAAGCTTCATTTTCAAAGGTTAGGACTCTGGCAAAGACCTTGAGATACTGAAATGTTCATCTGGGAAGGCTTGAAAAAGACAATACCAGACTGGTTTGATGGAACCCACAAGTTTAATTTCTATCACTTTCAAGATTTATTTACCCAGAGTGAAAAAATAGTTTTTAAATGAAACCTCAAATTGTTTTCATTAGCCAATTAAAAAACAAAACAAAAACAAAACAAAACAGAGGCAGTATTCCATTTAAAATTGAACAGAACTCATATTTTAGTATGTGCAAAACTGTGAATGACTTTTCACTTCTAATTAATATATTGGTGTATTGTTGCCCTCAGATCACTAGTCCTATACAGCAGAAAATTTCCCAGTGGCACGTTTGAACAGATCAGTCAGCTCGTGAAGGAAGTTGTCTCCTTGACCGAAACCTGTTGTGCTGAAGGGGCTGACCCCAACTGCTATGACACCAGGGTAGGTTTATATGGCCCGCCATCTCTCTGTGGCCAGAGGAGGAAGCCTTCTTGCCATGTCTTGGGGAAATTTTAGACAGCAACCCCTCTACTGCTAGATTGGGGAAAATACAAAGTCAACTATGCTTATAGCTCAGGCTTATTCTAATACAATGAGTCAATTTTAGCCATTATTTCACAGTTCAAATGAGAAAACTGGATTATAAATTAACTTACTGATTTACTAAATATATATTGCTAATAAGAAGTAGATATTGGGACCAGCAGTTAGCATAATGGCTATGTTGCAGGACTGCCATGTAGTTGACCGCAGTTTGAGTCCCGGACCCAGAGGCTTAAACTCATGTCGGGCACGTGTGCGTGCATGCCCATGATCCCGAGAGGAGAATGGAAGGAGAAGGGATTGCGGCATGGTCATCCCCCCTGGGGGGTGATTTCTCACTTTCTGTTTCTCTGTCTCTCTCTCTGTCTGTCTGGCGAGCGCACGCGCCCTATAGCAAAAACCTTTCCAAAAAAAAAAAAAAAAAAGAAGTTGATATTGGCTATAAATCAAGATCTGACTCAAAAGCTGAGTTTCTTTCTTTTTTTTTTTTTTGGAGAGGTTTTTGCTATAGGGAAATCACCCCCCAGGGGGATGGCCACATCACAATTCCTTCTCCTCCTCCATTCTCCTGTCAGGATCTTCAGCACTCACGGACACGCGCCCGGCGTAAGTTTAAGCCACCGAATCTGGGACTCAAACCACGGGTGGCTACAGCGACATAGGGATTACGCTAACTGCTGGTCCCATAAAAGCTGAGTTTCTTATTACAATAAATTTAAGACTCTCAAATATTGACTTGTGAACCTCTTGAAATAATTCCAATACATGTTGTATAGCTGAAAAGTCCATCCACACCTTTGTTATCATGCTTGGACTAGTACCAACTACCCCAAATAATTTAATGCTGGCCTCAAATTATTTAGAGGTTGAAAGTTGCCTAATATACATATACTAGGTTCTGTATATGAAGAGAGAGTGCATGTGAAGAGATTAGAATACTAAGTAGAGAACTATCAGCCTGGAAACTTGCATAAACATACACATACACATACATACATACACACACACACACACACACACACACACACACAGAGCAATGTTTAAAAGCAGGAGCATAAGTTACTGAAAGTTACAGCCACTTAGAACAGTACCCCAAATAATTTAATGCTGGCCTCAAATTATTTAGAGGTTGAAAGTTGCCTAATATACATATACTAGGTTCTGTATATGAAGAGAGAGTGCATGTGAAGAGATTAGAATACTAAGTAGAGAACTATCAGCCTGGAAACTTGCATAAACATACACATACACATACATACATACACACACACACACACACACACACACACACACACAGAGCAATGTTTAAAAGCAGGAGCATAAGTTACTGAAAGTTACAGCCACTTAGAACAGAGAAACTGGCAATTTATAAGCGAGTGTTTCAAAAAGTTCATGGAAAATGGAATTATATACATAATATATATTTATTTATATTTTCTTTTTCTTTCCTTCTTTTCTCATTCCAGACCTCAGCACTATCTGCCAGATCCTGTGAAAGTGACTCCCCATTTCCAGTGCATCCAGGAACCCCTGAGTGTTGTACCAAAGAGGGCCTTGAACAGAAACTCTGCATGGCAGCCCTGAAGCACCAGCCACAGGAATTTCCTACCTATGTGGAGCCAACAAATGATGAAATCTGTGAGGCATTCAGGAAAGATCCAAAAGAATTTGCTGACCAGTAAGCTGCTCTATGATAATCATAAATACAACTTCAGCGTCTAACGTATCAGAATGCACCTCTTCTACAGCAACTGAGACAACTTCCAATAATGGAATTTGACTCTCACTTGGGACAGCCCCTCTCCCTCTCAATGCTGATTGCTGGGAATGCCTTTTTAAGACACAGATAGGACCCATTTCCCAAATTCCTATCCACTAGCCCTAGTCCTATTATCTGAGGCAGAAGCAGTGGATCCCTGTCCACGTGACGCCATTCCAAATATTTGACAGCCCTTACTGTCATTCTCCATGCTAGAGGTCCTTGCTTAAGCTCAAGTGTTTTTAATTACCAGAAGGAACATGTACTCACCAGAGAGGTAGAAAGAGAAAACAACAGCTAAGGCGGAGAAGGGGAAAAAAACTCCCCAACGGGGTGTGCTCACATACCGCAATCTTTTCTCCCCCATTTCTCTATCCTGTCAGGATTCAGAGCACACATATATGATGTGCTTCTCAAAATCCAGGGTCAAAATTCAAACCACAGTCAGCCACCGGGATCCAGCCCCACTTAACCTCTAGACCACAGGGCCAGTTCTAACGTGTGCATTTTAAATTATTAAGTTCCAATAAAGTATAAGAAAAGAACAATTCCCCCCCATCTTTACATTTCCATGACATGCACATTACAAAAGTAAGTGCATAACTTTGAACTTCTTATTGTCTATGCATAAGGACGGTCATAAAAATGAACAAAAATGGGACATCAAATGACAATGAAAAATTATGCATACGCACATACACATAAAATTCAAAAGAAATGTCATTCAAATTAGTTATAATTTTACAAAAATTGCTCGGCTAGTCCATTCCTGTAAATCTTCAAAGAAGATTTTGCCCAAGATTCAATTTCTTGGAATCCATGAGGTCTCATATTCCTAAAATTAAAATGATTTCTTTCAGCCAAAAATCAAAACTACGCATAGCAATACACTAGAATAATAAACTGAGATATCGGATGAAACATACATCTGTAAATTACATTCATTGTAACTGAGTCAGAAAACAGGTGAATTGTTAAGCAGCTACCAGGGATGATAAACCTTGTCAGCTAGCGGATAAAGGGACAAATGATGAAATCTGGGAACCATTCAAAAAATGATAGCTCATACAAACCACATGGAAATTTGAGATAGAACCTATTTTTCAATGAATCTATTGACTAAAATCCTCTCGCTAAATTCTTAGTGCTTTTTAGATATTTCAATTATACACTAAGGTAATGTACATCCTTTTCAATCAAAGTATTTATGAAAAAGTAGATTTTTGTTTTCCCACAAATGTTTGGACTGATTCTACTCTTTTTTCCTCTCACAGATTTATTTATGAATATTCCAGTAATTATGGACAAGCTCCTCTACCCCTTTTAGTGAGTTACACCAAGAGTTACCTCTCTATGGTCGGATCCTGCTGTACCTCCGCTAGCCCCACTGTGTGCTTTCTGAAAGAGGTAGGCCCCGTTTTCCTTATTACTTAGTTGTGTTCTATTTTTTTCTTATTGTAATGGCATTATTTTTAAACATGGTAGAAGCTGAGATCCTGTCATCAGTAAGTTTCTGAAATACCTACCAGGAATTTTGTTAAGTGAAAAAGAACACCATCCCTGGAAAAGAAATATCAATAAGTTCCTTTGGTCAATGTTCAGCTGTTTATTGAAAAAAAAAATTTTTTTTTTGGAGAGGTTTTTGCTATAGGGCGCATGTGCTCGCCAGACAGACAGAGACAGAGAGACAGAAAGCGAAAAATCGCCCCCCAGGGGGAATAGTCACACCGCAATCCCTTCTCCTCCATTCTCCTCTTGGGATCTTGGGCACGCACATACACACGCCCAGCGTGTGTTTAAGCCATCGGGTCCAGCGGCGGTCGGCTACATGGGAGTCCATCGACATAGCCATTACGCTAACTGCTGGTCCTGAAAAAAATATTTTTTGACATTAATAGTCTCTGGGATTTTTTTTTTTCCATTTATGCACACAGTTTCCCCAGATCTTGACCACCTAATGAGAGTCTCTCGTTTATTTTCTAGAGACTCCAGAGCAAACAGTTATCACTTCTCACCACCTTGTCAAATAGAGTCTGCTCACAATATGCTGCTTACGGGAAGGAGAAATCAAGGCTCAGGTATGGATCCAGCCCTGTCATCATGTTTAGATGTTTGGTTCTGCACTATCTATTCATAATATTAGGGTCTTCTAAAAAGGTGTTTATAACAGAAGATAGAGCATACAGTCTTAGCTCTGACAATCCTCAAAAAATATGGCCCAATTCTTTCTTTCCTTTACAAAGAATATGAATAAGAAACAAGGCTATTTTGTAAAATGTGAGATTTGCCTTCATCAACCTTTTGCATCTACTTGTTTATGGGAAAACTGATAGGCAACTAGAAAGTGTTTCCTCAACATTCATGTTAGCCCGTGTTACAAACAGAAAAGCAAAAACATATATACACAATAATAATCCTTTTGTACGCCATCTGTTATTTGTCTCACCCAGTTTTTTCTTGCTAGGAGACTTCCTGAGTTCTTGTTTATGAAGTTTTGCACTGCATAATACGAACTTTTGACTTCCATGAGTTTAATGTCATTATTAAATATTTCAATTATTGCAGCCCTCACTTTGGTTTTTGTATGGTTACTCCTTTACTATTAACTTTATATTTTAATCTTGAAAGTTTCTGTATTAAACTTCTTTATATCTCTTCAGACATCTAGATTTGCCAGCTCTTTCTTTCTTTTTTTCTTTTTTAAAAAAGCACCCCCATGGCAAATAGTCATGCTGTAATCCCTTTTTCTCCGTTTCCTCCTTCTTTCAAAACTTTGGGCAAACATGCATCTAACGTGTTTTTCAAGTCACCAGGTCTGGGGCTCAAACCACGAGATCAGCCCTGTAGAATCCAGCCACCTTAACCACTGTGCCACTAGCAACCCCACCAGCTTTTCCATTTATATTTTCTTAAATTCCTTCTACTTTGATCCACGTTTTTTTCTCGAATGATAATGGAGAAACCTATATCTTGCTGGCAATTGATAATAAGCTTCTGTGATAGGAATAGAAACTACTTTCATGCATTCTTTAAAAATAACCTTGCAAGGAACCAGCAGATGGCGTAATGATTACATCATTGGACATAGTCAACTGCTTTGAGTCCCAGAACCAGTGATTCAAACTCATGCCAGGCTCGGCACATGCGTGCATGCCCAAGATCCCAAGAAAAGAGTGCAGGATAAGGGATGTGGCATGGCCATCCTCCCTGGGGGGTGATTTCCAGTTTTCCATCTCTCTGTCTCCCCAGTGAGCACACATGCCCTATAGCAAAAACAAATCTCTCTTCAAAAAATAAATAAATAAAATCAGGGCTGACAGGTGCCATGGTTGTTAAAGGCACTGGATTCCCACATGGCTGACTGGGGTTCAAGTCCCAGACCTGACAGCTTGCTTTCTCACTTTCCCTTTTTCTCTCTCTCTCTGTCTCTCTCTGGTAAATAAGTAACAACAATAAATGGAATGAAATAAATTATTATTTTGATAAATAAATAAATAGCCTTCCAAATAGGGGCATTTTCTCTAGTCTTTCCTTAGTCTTCTTTTACATTGAAATTAGAGAGTTTAACAAATGAAACAGAGGAAGTTATAAGATAAAACCACCATATATATTGCTTAATTAATCATTAACTTATACTTGCATCAGTGTGTAGAAGTTTACCCCAAGGAATTAGTATTGAAGATGAACAAAGACTTAGTCAAAAAATATTGCTACCACATTATAAAAAAAAAAATTGTCAAAGAGTACATGTGTTCTCCAGAGAGGAGGGGGGAGAAGACATTCCCCCTCCCCAAATAGAGTGTGGTCACACCACACTCTCTTCTTCATGTCTCCATCCCATTAGTATTTTGGACGTGTATGTACATGCATCTGGCATATTTTTCAGGCTACCAGGAGTAGGATTTGAACCATGGTCAGTTATGGAGGATTCAGCTGCTTTAACTGTAGGCCACAGCGCCTGCCCACTGTCTCTCTATCTTTTTTTTTTTTTTTTTAAGTAAAAACCACTAAAAGATAAAATAGGCAAGAAATTTAAGGGACACAGAAATGGAAGATTGTCTGTTAATGTACGATAATATCTTTATATGGACTAGTGTACAGTGTATTCATGCTGGGAAAATTCATTTTACAAGCTATGGTGATGTACAGTGATTGAATGTATAAAATTAATAAAAATAAAATTTTTAAAATATTTTTTAAAACTAAAGGATTTTCTAAATGTCCTTAGAAAATGCTCCAAATTAATTATGGCATATTCATATAAATTTGTTAAAATAATATTGAAACTTCATATTTCATGAAAATTATAAAACATTGCTCAAAGTAATCGAAGATGACAAAAATTAATGAAAATACATACTACGCTTGGGACCAGCAGTTGGCGTAATGGCTATGTTGCTAGACTCCTATATAGTTGACCACAGTTCGAGTCTAGAACTCGGTGGCTTAAACTCACACCGGGTGTGTGTACATGCATGCCCAAGATCCCGAGAGGAGAATAGAGGAGAAGGGATTGTGGCATGGCTATCCCCCTGGGGGATGATTTCTTGCTTTCTGTCTCTCTGTCTTTCTCTGTTTTTCTGGCAAGCATGTGCCATATAGCAAAAACCTCTCAAAAAAATAAATGACATAACATGCTTGTAGTTTGGAGTACTTCATTCTGTTAAAATGCCCATACTACCCAAAATAATCTATAGTCTAAATACACTTCATATCCAAATCCTAATGGCAGTTTTTGCAGAAATAGAAAAAAAAAAACTAAAGTTCATAAAGAATCTCAAGGAATCCCAAATAACCAAAACATTCTTTAAAACAAACAACAACAGTAAAATAACTTTAAAGTCCTAAAACTTCCTGATTTCAAAACACACAGTAAATCAAAATGGTATGATATTTGAATAAAGAATATAGAGACCAATGGAACAGAATAGAGAGCTAAGAAATAAATTCTTGCATATACAGCCAAATGATTTTCAACAACAGTGCCAAGATTGAACAATGGGGAAAAGGTGGTTTCTTTAACAACTGATGATGGGAAAACTGAATATTCACAAGCAAAAAAAAAAAAATGATTTGGACTTTATCTTACACCAGATACAAAATCTAATTCAAAAATGGGTTAAAGACTTACACACAAAACTTGAAACTCTTAACACCCCTAGAAGAAAACATGGGAAAGTTTCGGGATCTTAGATTTGACAATGATTTCTTAGATATGACTTCAAAGCATAGGTAAACAAAAGTAAAATAAACAAACGGGGCTGAATCAAACTTTATAACTTCTGTACATCAAACAATACAATCAACAGTGTGAAAGACAATTTATGGAATGGGATAAAATACTTGCAAATCATGTATCTGAAAATGATTACTATTGAGAATACATAAACTCAGTAACAACAAAATAACTCAATTTAAAAATGGTCAGAGGACTTAAACAACTCTCCAAATAAAACACACAAATGCCCAACAACACATATATAAAAAGTATTTAACATTACTTTACTAATCCTAAGAGAAAATCCAAACTACTATGACATACCATCTTATATCCATTCGTATGGTCACTGTCAAAACAGAAACTATTATAAAAACTGTTGGCAAGAATGCAGAGAAATTGTAATACTTGTACACTGTTGGTAGAGATGTAAAATGGTACATACATTATGAAAAATAATGTGGAATTTCCTCAAAAAGTTAAGTATGGAATTACCATATGATCTAGTAATCCATTTCTTGTTATATATCCAAAAGAATTCAAAACAGAATCTCAAAGAATTATTTGCACTCTCATGTTCATTGCAGCATTATTTGCAACAGCCAAGAGGGAGAAGGAATGCACATGTTCATTGATAGACAAGTTGACGAAGCAAATGTGGTGCAAGATGACCTCACGTCATAGAGGATAAAAGAGTGACTACTAGAGGCTGGGAAAGATTAAGAGGGAGGAATAGAGAGATATTGAAGGGCAGAGATAGTACTACAAATAGGAACAATCTCCAGTGTTATAAAATACTGTAGGGTGACTATAATTAATAATAACTTCCTGTATATCTCATAGTAGCTCAAAAAGAGGGTTTTGAGTATTCCCAACACAAAGTAAAGACAAATGATTGCAATAGTCATTACTAATTACCCTGATTGAATCAGTACACATGGTATTCTTGTATCAAAAATCTTTCATTCCATAAATATGTTCAATTATTATATTTCAGTTTTTAAAAGAAAATATAGTATGTACACACAATGGAATATTATATAACTTTAAAAAAGAAGAAAATCCTATCATGTACTTCAACATGAATGAACCTCAAGGACTTATGTGAAGTAAAATATGTTGGTCACACATTCTGTACACTTCTACTTATATGAAGTACATAAAATAGTCAAAATTACAAAAACAGCAAATAGAAAGGTAGTTATTAAAGCTGGGGAGGGAAGAAAGGAAATCCAAATTTAATCAGAATACAGTTTTATCTTTCTAAGATGAAAAAGTTCTAGAGATCTGTTGTACTATTATAATGTGAATATACTTAACACCACTCAACTACATACTATAAAAAAACAGAGGTGGCAAATTTAATGTCATTTTCTCTCCACAATTTTTTAAAAGAATATTTATTGATATTCCAACTACATTAATAATAGTAACACAACAAATACTATTTAATTATATTCCTGATATATTTAGTGAAAAACAGAAATATGGGAATAGTATAGCATAACCCTATAAGTAAATAAAAATACTTTAAAAAGTAAACCTTATAAAATATAAATGAGCACACCCCAAAACATCAACATTTATTAGCTCAGTAGTGTAGGGCTATAGGTCTTTTAAACTTCTTTTACTTTCTCTATAGTTTCTAAGTGGATTTACAAAACTATGTTTTAAAAGACTGTAAGGAGCCATGTAAATAAAATATTGTCCTTATAAATGGAGAGATTGCTTGCTTTACTGTTGTTTTAGAGCTGACATTTCAAAGGCATGCTTCAACTATGTACATTTGGCAGAATAGAAGCTACAGTTTACTAACAGAAATTTGAAAACATTCATTGGGGAAGTTTTTAGTTTGAATCAGTGACTTTGACAGATAGGATCCATCTCTTAGCGGATGTGTTCTGCGCAACTATTGAGGCCAAAGAATTTAAATTATACTATTCCCCCAGGCAGCATGTTCAGAATGAAATAAAAAAAAATGAGAATGTGAGTAAGCTAACAAATTCGTGTTTAACTGTTTAGCCATCTCATAAAGTTAGCCCAGAAAGTGCCAACTGCTGAACTGGAGGATGTTTTACCACTCGCTGAAGATATTAATAAAATCCTCTCTAAGTGCTGTGAGTCTACTGCTGAGGACTGCATGGCCAAGGAGGTAAGTAAGATCCCTATCATTATGATCAACATGGGTCAAGTACTGAGTATCGCATACTGAATGATAATTGCCTTTTTTTTTTTGAGAGAGAGAGATTTTTGCTATAGGGTACATACACTCACAAGACAGAGAGACAGAAAGCAAGAAATTACCCCCTGGGGGATAGTCACACCACAATCTCTTCTCCTCCATTCTCTTCCTGGGATTTTGGGCACACACACACATGCACCCAGCATGAGTTTTAAGCCACTGGGTCCAGGACTTGAACTACGGTTGGCTACATGGGAGTACAGCAATGTAACCATTATGCCATTTGCTGATCCCAATAAGTGTTCTTTAAAGTTACTTTTCACATACATTATCTTAAAAGATTCTCACATGTATTCCATGAGATATAAATATATTCTTAACTTCATTCTACAGATGAGAAAAGAACATTAGCAAGAATCACTAATTTGAGACCACACGACTAGTTAGTGGCACACAAGGACAAAGTTATCTGATTCCCAAGACCTTACTACTCTGCATTGCCCAGTACAATAATCACTAACCACATATGGTTATTGAAATTTAATTATAATGAATTAGGGGCCAGCAGGTGGCATGGTGGTTAAGGTGCTGGGTTCCACATGGCTGACTCTGCAATTCAAGCCTAGGATCTGGGGGCTTGAGAAACATGCTGGACATATGAGCATATGTGCCCAAAGTCTCTAAAGGAGAATAAAGGAGAAGAGATTGTGGCATGACCATCCCTTTGTGGGGGTATGATTTCTCACCTTCCCTCTCTCTGTCTTTCTCTGATGAGTACACACATCCTATGTAAAAAAATCTAAAACTATTTTTTTTAATTAGAATGAAACAAAATTAAATATTTTTTAATTGAATGTAATTTAAAATTCAATTTTCAGTCAACACAAACCACATTTCAAACACACAATATTACTGGAGTACACACGCAGATCATTTTCATTGTCACATAAAGCTCTACTAGACAAGATCACAACCATTGGATTAGAGCCTGCAATAGTTTTTACTATACATTTTATAATTTGATGGTCATCTCAATTTTCTTTATCATTTTCAAAGTGTATAATCCTTTTTAAGAAGATGCAGATTTGAATAGTTGCTTTAGATGAAGGTTAGTCTCTAAGATCTCATTGACTGCTTTAGAAATAGATGTACTGTGCTCCTGGTCTTTTCCATTCAGAATGCCTGTCCATATTAATAACGGCTTCTCTACAGTGATGTTTAATGGTCAAGTTTGTATATATTTGCCACACATTTGATTGCATTTATTTAATGCATTATCTCTATCTCCTGAGCTATCGTATTTTTATTTAATCCTCTTATATTTAAGTTATTGCTTTTCCATATTTTAAGCAATGCTGCACATATAACCTTACAGTTAAGTCTTCTCTGTATCCATATTATTTTAAGTATAAATTCTTAATAATTGAATTTCTAGCATTTTTAAGATTTTTAGTACATAGAGACAATTGCCTTCCCAACATTGAACCAATTTACTTTCTGAGAGTTTTCACGCTAATTTTTTATAAACATGATGCTGAGACTTGTGAGCCTTATTTTTAATTAGACCAATCAGGAAACTAACACTGTGCAAACTGACCATTCCTTTTTTAGCTGCCTGAACACACGGTAAAAATCTGTGATAACTTATCCACAAAGAATTCTAAGTTTGAAGACTGTTGCCGAGAAAAAACACCCATGGACATTTTTGTGTGCACTTACTTTATGCCAGCTGCCCAACCACCTGAGCTGCCAGACATTGAGATGCCTACGAATAAAGATGTGTGTGATCAAGGACACGCCAGAGTCCTAGATCAGTAAGTAGGGGTGATGTGTAATGCATTTCCATCTGAAGTTCATCCGGGCAAAAGGAGTCTCACAGCAGGCCACAGCGAGGAAAGATGCTGCCACTCCTCTCCAGCAGACGCCAAGTACTTTTTACACTTTTCATGAACTTTAAGTATTTGTTCATTTATTTTAAATAGCTCAGATTTTTAAAATTAAGTATCTGGTTTGGATGAATAACAAGTTTAGTAGGAAGAATTTTATGGAGAAAAAAGCCTGAGACTCCTAACTCTATCTCCTCTGATTTTTGTCTATGACCAAAAGAAATGAACTGAACCCTTTCTAAATTTTAATCTCTTCTTAATTAATTTAAGAATGATTATACTTCCTAACTTAGCACCAGGTTGCTAATGAGAAATGTGTGTTGGGACCAGCAGTTAGTGTAATGGCTATGTTGCTGGACTCCCATGTAGTCAACTGAGGTTTGCATCCCAGACCCGGTGGCTTAAACTCACACCGGGCACGTGTGCGTGCATGCCCAAGATCCCGAGGAGAATGGAGAAGAAGGGATTGTGGCATGGCCATCCCCTCTGGGGGGGGAGGATGATTTCTCACTTTCTGTCCTCTGTCTCTCTCTATCTGGCAAGTGCACACGCCCTATAGCAAAATAAATAAATAAATAAATAAAAAATAAAAAAAATAAAACACCTCTCCAAAATAAAAAAGAGAAACGTGTAGAAATATAGAAGAAAGTAAGAAAAAAGTGAAAACACCTTTTTACATAATAAAAAGGCTGAAACAGATGAAGTGTATTTTCCTGGCATCAGAAAAGTTTATCATATTATTAACTAATTTTACCATATTACTTCTAGTTCAAAATCTCAAATCAAAAGCCTGAAGTATATCCAACTTTTGAACAGTAAACGTTTGATATACTGAAAACAGAGAGCAAAATATAAAATAATTTTTCTTGACAGTATTGGTATTCACTATCATTAAAGAAATATGAGATTAAATGGGAAGAAATGATAAACCCTCTTATTTCATCCAATCAATAAAAAGCTAACTATATATCATTGTTTTTATAACTATGTGTGCATGCATACCCATGGCATAAAATATTTCATAGTTTGAAGAAATGGGTTGATATTTCAGTTAGCAATATCAGACAGCAGAACTTAAATTGGACAAAATGTATTTGAATTTTCTATACACTCACTGTTTTTATAAGTAGAATAAGACATAATAGAAGAATTTATAGGACCAGCAGTTGGCGCAATGGCTATGTCACTGGACTCCCGTCTAGTCAAATGTGGTTTGAGTCCCAGACCTGGTGGCTTAAACTCACACCAGGTGCATGTGCATGCATGCCCAAGATTCCTGGAGAAAAATGGAGGAGAAGGGATTGTGGTGTGGCCATCCCCCCTGAGGGGTGATTTCTCACTTTCTTTCTCTCTGTCTGTCTCTGTCTTTTTGGCAAGCACACACCTTCTAGCAAAAACATTCTCTCAGTAGTGTTTATTGTCCTCTTAAAAAGAAAGTAATTAGGGACCAGCAGTTGGCATAATGGCTATGTTGCTGGACTCCCATGTAGTTGACCACGGTTCAAGTCCTGGACACGGAGGCTTAAACTCACACCCAGCGTGTGTGCGTGTGTGCCCAAGAAAGATCCAGAGAAGAGAATGAAGCAGATAGGATTGTGGCGTGTCCATCCCCCCTTGGGGGGGAGGATGATTTCTCACTTTCTGTCCTCTGTCTCTCTCTATCTGGCAAGTGCACACGCCCTATAGCAAAATAAATAAATAAATAAATAAAAAATAAAAAAAATAAAACACCTCTCCAAAATAAAAAAGAGAAACGTGTAGAAATATAGAAGAAAGTAAGAAAAAAGTGAAAACACCTTTTTACATAATAAAAAGGCTGAAACAGATGAAGTGTATTTTCCTGGCATCAGAAAAGTTTATCATATTATTAACTAATTTTACCATATTACTTCTAGTTCAAAATCTCAAATCAAAAGCCTGAAGTATATCCAACTTTTGAACAGTAAACGTTTGATATACTGAAAACAGAGAGCAAAATATAAAATAATTTTTCTTGACAGTATTGGTATTCACTATCATTAAAGAAATATGAGATTAAATGGGAAGAAATGATAAACCCTCTTATTTCATCCAATCAATAAAAAGCTAACTATATATCATTGTTTTTATAACTATGTGTGCATGCATACCCATGGCATAAAATATTTCATAGTTTGAAGAAATGGGTTGATATTTCAGTTAGCAATATCAGACAGCAGAACTTAAATTGGACAAAATGTATTTGAATTTTCTATACACTCACTGTTTTTATAAGTAGAATAAGACATAATAGAAGAATTTATAGGACCAGCAGTTGGCGCAATGGCTATGTCACTGGACTCCCGTCTAGTCAAATGTGGTTTGAGTCCCAGACCTGGTGGCTTAAACTCACACCAGGTGCATGTGCATGCATGCCCAAGATTCCTGGAGAAAAATGGAGGAGAAGGGATTGTGGTGTGGCCATCCCCCCTGAGGGGTGATTTCTCACTTTCTTTCTCTCTGTCTGTCTCTGTCTTTTTGGCAAGCACACACCTTCTAGCAAAAACATTTCAAAAAAAATAAAGAAGAATTTACACTAAACAATAGTCACAGAAAAGTCACTTAAAGTGCCATTTTGATGTTTATTGAGGGCTAGCCATTTTGATGTTTATTGAGGGCTAGTTGTATTTATTTACATAGGATAGTTCTATATGCATTTGAGGTAGGCATGTTTATGTCTAATAAGTATAAAATATATATTATACACACAGCTTTTGTTTTTTTAACTTTATTTATTTATTTTTTAATTTGACCAGGGAGAGACAGAGTGAGTGAGAGAGAGAGAGTGAGAGAGCAATCCACCAGGTGCAGGACTCAAACTACGATCAGCCATGTGGGAGTCCAGCATGCTTAACTACCACACCACCTGCCAGCCCCTACACAAAGAGCTCTTATTCAGCACTAACTAGTCACAAGAGCTTCAAAAAAAGTATTAATAACCTGTATTTCAATCAAAATATAATTGTAGCCTAGTGATTTGGAGGTAGTTTTAGTAAAATCTCTTCTTTTTAATGAAGATGCTAAAACCAAATGCTCTTTATGATAGATAATGTTGCATTTTGAAACATGCACACATATTTATGTACAGATTAAAAAGGACTATCTCCTTTTCTCTCCCATGCAGGTATACATTTCAACTAAGTAGGAGGACTCATGTTCCAGAAGTCTTCCTCAGTAAAATTCTTGAGCCAACTCTGAAGAGCCTTGGTGAATGCTGCGTCTCTGAAGACTCTACTGCCTGTTTTAATGCTAAGGTATGACTTGATACATTTTCCTTCCCAACCATGTAGATCAAGAGTTGGTAAAGTGTAGTTCATGGGCCAAACCTAGCCATCTACCTACTTTTGTATAGACTATGAGCTAAGAATGAAAGGATAGTTTTATATTTTTCAATAGTTGAAAAAATAAAATCAGAAGATTAATAGTTTATGACACACAAAAATCATATGAATTCTGATTTCAGTGTCGATATATAAAGTTTCATCAGAATACAGCAATGCTCATCACTTATGCATTGTGTATGAGTGTTTTTTATGCAGAGTTGGGAAGTCGCAACAGAGACCATATATAGCCCACAAAGCCTAAAATATTTATTCTCTGGCCTTATGCGGAAAATGTTTGCTGGTGCTTGATGTAAATAATAAATACTCATACTGATACAGATATAGGATTCTGATTTAGCATCCTCATAGGACAGTGTTTCGAGACAAATAATTTTGTTATGCAATTACTGGTTTTTGTTTTGTTTTGTTTTGTTTTACAGGGGCCTCTACTGAAGAAAGAATTATCTTCTTTTGTTCACAAGGGACAAGAACTATGTGCAGATTATTCAGAAAACACATTTACTGAATACAAGAAAAAGTAAGGGAATTGTTCTAGTTGTATCCTCTAAATTAATGAATAATATTTGCTTAATTTGTGATTGGAAAGCATGGTTGAAAGTTGAAGATAATGTTAAGTGAAAGATAAAAAGAGCAGGTACAATTAAAAATTTTTAAAAATACAGTTCCAAGCTAATATCTGTGTAAGAAGCAGTGAGCTCCTTTCTGGAGGAAAAGAGTGTATATGTCAGATGAGAGGCCAATTATAATAGAACATGGTCACCAAAATTTAAATTCAGAAATCTATCTGCATTGACTTGTTTTAGAATAACTAAATGAACACACAGTTTATCAGCATTCTTGCCCCAACATTATCTGTAGACACCCCAGTACCTAATTAAAAAACTATAAAACCAATTGAAAATAGCATCTAACTTCATGGTATATTACCTAATTAAGACAATCCCATCTGTCAATCAAGTATAGTGTCCGCTATCAAGAGCAATTTCCACTGTAAGTTGGGAATGCATGCACTAATTATCAATAATGTTATATAATAGTCATTTTTTCCTCAAGAGAAGTAAAAAGCATTTCTTTGTAAATAGGCATTAACACTAAAATAGGTCATAATAATGAAAGTCAAGGTACTGGGTTCTTGGAAGAGAAACTCCATCGAGAAGACCGTACCATTCTCAAGCTTACTTAGTAAAATTTTCCAATCCATTTTAAATCATTTCGAACAACATAAACCATATGTAAGCACAGACAGAACTCTACACAAAGATCTTTTTGACAAGTTCCCAAAATAGGACACCTCCTATAATGACTTCCATGAATTTTACCTTAGCCAAGCTAAGAAGGAAAGAAAATGAAAAACTGTGAAAGGCATAATATTTCTTTTGTCAGAAAATTGTTTAACTGTACAATGTGGTAAAATATGATGGTGGCAGAATAAATTACTGGTGAACAGATAAATGAAGATTAAGTTCTGTACCAACAGAACTCTAGGATTGTACAGGGCAATTGAGTAATAATTTACCTAGTTTCAATTCCAGATGAGTATGTAGCAGAATTGATATTCAGAGTTACGAAATTAGAGAAGATTAACACTACTCAGTTTAGGTTTTTTTTTTTTTTAAATTTTCTTTTCATCCTCTGAGTTCCCTCTGATCCCACTTGCCACCTCTCCCAGCTCAGACATTCATTTTTTGTTGCTGTTGTTTTTAAAGAATTACTTATTTTTAACTTTTTCTTTTTTTTCTTTCAAAAAATTCACCAGAGAAAGTGAGAGAGAAGGAGAGACAGAGAGTAAAAAAGCAAGCTGCCAGGTGTGGGACTCAAACTGTAGTCATTCATGTGGGAGTCCAGTGCCTTAATCACCACAGCACCTGCCAGCCCCAGACTACTCATTTTAATAATGCTTTAATGAGCAAATTGAACTGATTCTTTCATGCTTTTGTCCCTTCCCAGCATCCACTTTGCCAAGCCCAACTCTACCTCCCAGTGCCCACTACTGGGTTGGCAATTGCTTCTTAAAAAGTCATAAAATTAGACTGGGTTGCTCTTCGTGACGGTGAAGAGACGCCAAGATCAGAGAGTGCTCAAACTGAAAGAAGCAAGAGATGTAGTCCTATCACTGCTTTGAAAGTAAGAGGAAGGGCTGGTAGTGAAAACAAGGGCAGAAGTTTCCTGGCTCCATTGCACTGTTTTCCAGCACAGTGAGAGGAGGAGTGAGAAACTAAGGGGAAATGATCTGACATGAGAGAAAAGACAAAGAGCATTAAGGAGGTATGAGGTACTGGGAACAAAGTATTTTTTATGAAGCTTGAAATCTAAACTGGAGAAGAGGTGAATGATCCGGGAAAACAGAAGAGAAAGTCATTCATGCTGATATAATGAGCAAATGGAAAGGGGGGAAGATGAGAATTCAAATTCAGCCACAATTTGTATTTTTCTCTTATGATCTTGAAAGAAAGCATAGGATTCACTTTCTAATCTCAAACCGACAACAAAATTCATTTCACAGCTACCCAATTTTCTTCAGACAGGCAAGTATTTCTATTTTCGCTTTTTAAATTGTAAAAGACCTGAAATGACTACCATTTTGCACTGGAAATGTTTATAAAATAAATCCAGTAAAAACTTTACCTAAAATGGTCTTTCAGACTGGCAGAGCGACTGGCAGCAAAACAGCCTGATGCCACGCCCTCCCAACTGGCCAAGCTGGTGGAGGAGCGCTCGGACTTCGCCTCCAAGTGCTGTTCCATTAATTCGCCTCCTCTCTACTGTGACTCAGAGGTAGGAGCAGTAACCTTCTAGCCGCCACTGCAGAGCCTTTTACGAACCTATGTACTCAGACTTACTCGTTCTTGTTCTTGAAATGCCATCGTGTGACAGGCTTTTCCTGGTGCTGTTGTAAATTTGTCAATGCAATGAAAGTAAGAAAAATGACGATGTCCATGTTATGCTCATTTAAAAGCAAATTCAGTGAGCTGTAAAACTTGTGACATTTTATACTTTTTTAAAGAAATAAATGGGTTGGGGCCAGCAGGTGGTGTGGTGGTTATGGGTGCTGGACTCCCACATGTCTTGCATTCTCACTTCCTCACCCCACCCAACTCTCCTCTCTTGTTAAATTTAAATAAATAAGTGAATAAATTCAAATAAAAGAATTATCTTTAAAAAAAGAAACAAGAGGGTTACAGATATAGGGAAAATATAGTGTAGGATGTAACATAGTAACAGCTTTCAAAAATGAAAGAAGAGGGACCAGCAGTTAGCGTAATGGCTATGTCGCTGGACTCCCATGTAGTCGACCGCGGTTCGAGTCCCGGACTCCAGGGGCTTAAACTCACGCCGGGCGTGTGTGCGTGCGTGCCCAAGATCCCAAGAGGAGAATGGAGGAGAAGGGACTGCGGCGTGGCCATCCCCCCTGGGGGATGATTTCTCGTTTTCTATCTCTCTGTCTCTCTCTGTCTGGCAAGCACACGTGCCCTATAGCAAAAAAAAAAACCTCTCCAAAAAAAAAAAGAAGAAAGAAGATAAAAATAAGGATACAGTAGAAATATCAGAGTTCATCTCACACATTGAGGGTAAATATTATTGTATTATTTTATATATGTATGTATGTGTGTTTCTGTAGAAAGATGTATATCTATAGGTAGGTAGTAGACTGACGAAAATATTTTCAGATAAGTGGGATATCGTACCTTCTTTTTTAATTATGAAAATATTACATTTATGGGGCTGGCAAGTGGCATAGTAGTTAAGGCACTAGACTTCCATATGGTCGACCACAGTTTAACTCCTGATCTGATGTTTTGCTTTCTTACTTTCTCTCTGTCTTTCCAACACTGTGTCCTATAGCAAATAAAAAAATAATAACAACAAAATTGGGACCAGCAGGTAGAATTATGGTTACATCACTGGACTCCCATGTAGTCAACAGTGGTTCGAATCCCAGATCTGGCAGCTTAAAACTCACACCAGGTGCATGTTCATGCATGCCCAAGATCCTGAGAGGAGAATGGAGGAGAAAGGAATGTGGTGTGGACATCCCTGCTAAGGTGTGATTTCTCACTTTCTCTTTGTCTCTGTCTCTCTAGTGAACACATGCTCACTATTTTTGCCCTATAGGAAAACCTCTCTAAAATAATAATAATAAATAAAATTAAATAATTCTTTTTAAAAATTAATTTTTGTTTTAATATGATGCAAGAAAAAATTACAACTGAAAAATTTCTAAAGACCACAAAAATATTTAATTACAATAGTTATTTTCAAAACTAAGAGTTCAAAAAAGACTTTTAAGAATATTAAAATATTAATAATTTTTTCTTCAGTTTTTCCAGAAGGTGCATATGGATGCTCACCAGAGAGATAAAAAATGAGAAAGCACCCCCCCCATGAGAGATTGTCATGCCACTATACTTTTTCCTTTTCTCCCTCCTGTCAGGATTTTGGGCACGCACACACATATGCCTGGCATGTTTCTCAAGATACCAGTTCCAAAATCAACCATATATGGTATCGAGGATCCTTAACTACCACACCACAGGCTGACCCAAAATATTAATCATCTTTGCAGCCAGCCAGAGGCATAGTGGTTAAAATGCTGGACTCCCATGTATTCAATCATGGTTCAGGTCCTTGATCTGGTGGCTTGAAACTTATGCCAAGTGTGTGTGCATACATGCCCAAAATCCTGAAAGGAGAATGGAAGCAAAAGGATTGCAGCATGGCCATCCCCCACTGGAGGCGATTTCTCACTTTCTGTCTCTCTGTCTCTCTGGCAAGTACACCACCCTATAGCAAAAATCTCTAATTTTTATCACAAAATTTTTATCACATAATTTTTATCACATAATTTTAATCACAAAATTTTTTCAACACTATCAATTGCCTCCCAACCCTGAAAGATAAAGAAATTGGAACTTTTATATAACTTTTAATTTCTCTCCTCACTTTTCTCAACTTTTGTTATTCTTGGGTTGGTCTTTCTTTAAAATGTCCCTTCCTCCCTGTCTCTTTCTCCTCCCTTTCTCACCCCTTTATTCTGTTCCCCACCCCCTTGTCCCCTTTCTCTTTCCTTCTCTATCTCCCTTAAATGTATATATATGTAGTTGTCAGAGGTTTTTGTTTCTTGGTTTCAGTTTTTGGTTTTGGTTTCAGATTTTTTTTTGGCGAGGAGCGGGGGGACTTAAGGTTTTTTGTCATAGGGCAAAGCATTTGCACTCACTAGAAAGGACAAAGATAGAGATACAGAGAGAGGGAAGTGAGAAATCACCCCCTAGGAGGATGACCACACCATAATCCCTTCTCCTTCATTCTCCTCTTGAGAATTTAGGCACACACAGGCACGCATGCACATGCACCTGGAATGATCCTCAGGTCACTGAGTCCCGGACTCAAACTGCAGTCTTTCATGTGGGAGTCCACTGCCTTAACCACCTGCTAACACCAATTGGTTTGGGTTTTTGTTTTTACCTTGTGCAAAATGTAGGCAGCTCTGGCTAAATATTTTGTCTGACCATTGGTGAATTAACATTGTCCTGTGCTCTACATCTGAGTCCATTAGGATTTCTCCTAGGGACCAGCAGTTAACATAATATGTCGCTGGACTCCATGTAGTCGACCGGTTCACGACTGGGACCCAGTGGCATAAAACGCAGGCAAGGCGTGTGTGCATGCATGCCCAAGATCCCAAGAGGAGAATGGAGGAGAAGGGATTGCAGCATGGCCATCCCCCCTGGGGGTGATTTCTCACTTTCTGTCTCTCTGTCTCTCTCTGTCTTTCTGGCGAGCGCACGCACCCTATAGCCAAAAAAAAAAAAAAACCCTCTCCAAAAAAGAAAGGTTTTCTCCTATAAACTAACATGAATCTAGTACTTTGGTTCTATTCATCTTTACACAGACTAGAGGTTTAAAGGAGAGGAAAGCCATTTATACTTTGTGGACTCTTTGTTAGCAGACCTAAGTAATGCTCTGACTTTTTAGATTTTGGTAAATGTCTTTATTCTAAGATTTCCTTTACCAGGTCAGTATCTGCTCTATGTCATGGGGGATGGAGAAGAGGTCTCATTGGTTTTTAGAAAGAGCCCGTTTGTCTACCTCCTTCACTTTCTCTGTTACTCTCCATCACTACGATTATTTAAAAGAGTCAAATATAAGAACAATGATTCATTTCACCTTATTGCTAATTTAGAGTGACAATTACAAGAATTTTGCTGTCTTGCCTACTCCATTTCTGAAATATAGAACCAGGTCTGGGAATAATTCCATGCCAAATCAAATTTTTTTTTTCTTTTGTTCATCTTTTTTTTTTTTTTTTAGAGAGAAATTTTTGCTGTAGGGCACATGCACTCACTGGAGAAACAGAGACAGAAAGAAAGAAAGAAAGAAAGAGAGAAATCACCCCCCAGGATGGGAATATGGCCACACCACTATCCCTTCTCCTCTATTTTCCCTTTGGGATTTTGAGCATATGCATACACATGACCAGTGTGAGTTTCAACATACCATGTCCCAGACTCGAACTGCAGTTGACCATGTGGGAGTCCAACACCTTAACCACTACGTCATCTCTTGGCCCCTTGTCCATCTCTTTCTGAAGTTTAGGATATTAAGTTTCATCCCTTTCCTACTCTGCTGGTGATGGTTGAGGCATTTTGGCTGGACTTTACTATTGTTTTATTGTTGTTCTATTTTGGAGGAGAAATTCCAATCCATTTTTTTACCCGTCATTTTTCTGTGTCTTTATAGAAAAATAATTTACCTAAAATGTAAAGGTCAATGTTGTTTAAGGTTATGATTTCATGCCAACTAGACATCCTTTTCCACAAGTAAAAGAATTTCTTTTCAAGAGTTGACATTAACTTTTGTTCTTTTATTAAATCATGAAAGCACCAATGCCTGGTTCCCATTAAAGAATATTTGAAAATATTCAGGAATTTAATTTTAGAAATCACAAAAGGATACATGTCAGAAGAAAACTATGGTAATCATCTAGTGTACTTTCTTACTCAGTTAGTTGTTTATAGAGGACATTCAGCCTCCATTTAAATACCCGGTCAGTTTATTTTTCTCCTAGAAGTAGAAATGGGCTATTTCCCTGCTGGATACCTTCATGTATGAGGATATTCTTCAATAAATTAAGCCACGATGTTCCCTTTATAGTGTCTGCTGAGCCCTCCCTGGGCTTTTCTAGCAACCAGAACATGTCTATGCTGTTTTGAGTAGCAGCTTTTTTATACTTAGAGTAGCTTTTTAAAATAAAGCTGTATATTATTATAAAATCTCATGTCATGCATTCAATCATCTTAATCTTCTAGTGAAATTTTACTTGTTTGTGTTTTACGATATAGGGCTTAATACAGTTTGACAAAGGGAGCTACATCCTGTTTGATTTTCTTCTTTATAAATTTAGGGATCCTCATTTCTCTTCTAATTTCTATATTTATACTCTAGTCCCAAACCTATTTGCTAATATTATATGTAACCATTTGTAAAATCAGAATTCCAGATAAAAAGAGCAGGGCAGCAGGTGGTGTGGTGGGTAAGGCACTGGACTCCCATGTAGCCAACAAGGGTTTGAGTCCCAGATCTGGTGGCTTGCTTTCTCTTCTCTCTCTCTCTCTCACTCTCTCTCTCATACATGTTCCCTATAGAAATTTTAAAATAATAATAATTACTGACAAACAAAATAATTCTTTTAAAAAACAGCACAGTAGAAGAAAAGCCTATATTCTTTACATTTCTCAGATATTTGTTATCTTTATCTTTCACTAAAATTCAGACTACATAAGATTCTAGACCTAAAAACTTGAAAAATTAGATTATCAAAGTGTTCTGTTCATTAGGGGCATTAAGTATTTATTATCAAACAAATTCAATGATTTATTTCTTCCTACCATAGACTAAATTTGTGCTGAATTTAGAATTCCTTATCCTAGAAAAATAAAATCATCTTACCTAAAAGTTGTTTGCTACCAGCAGAATTTGCTCTGAGAGACTCAGCCTTTTAAAAAGGAAGAAAAAACAGTAAAAAAATAAAAAATTAAGATTCTCCTAAAAAGTATCACTTTGGAAACTCTTCCCATGTCCTTTTATCATCTCTTTATCCAGCTAACACACACTTTCCTTTTTGACATCATATAAAATAAGCAGAATTTTATGCAGAAGGGCTTCCTTCAAGCCTTTGTTTTACATTTCTTCCTGTTGCTTTACATCAGAATATAATATCATTCTAATGGTGCTTGTTTTTTTGTTTTTTGTTTGTTTGTTTGTTTTTCAATTTCTACTGCAACTTCGAGAAGGCAGTGCATTTTCAGCAGTGCTGTTGCTGAGTAGCCAGTCTTGCAGTAATTGCTAAAGAAGAGTGAGATGGGGGCCAGCAGATGGCATAATGGTTATGTCACTGGATTTCCACATACTCTACAGTGGTTCAAGTGCTGGATCCAGCAGCTTCAAATCACACCGAGTGTGTGTGCTTGCATGTTCAAAATCCTGAGAGGAGAATGGAGGAGAAGGGATGGTGGTGTGGCCATCTACCCTGGGGGGTGATTTCTCACTTTCTGTCTCTCTGTCTCTCTCTGTCCTTCTGGGAAGTGCACACACCCTATAGCAAAAACCTCTAAAAAAAAAAAAAAAAGAGTGAGATGAATGGAGTCAAGATATATGGAGTCAAGATATTTTGCACACTAGATTGTAGAGAGTGCTCAAAGAAAGGCCTCTCCAGTGTTTCAATCAGCCTTTCTGATTTTTTTCTTTCTTTTTTTTTTAAGATGGAATGCTTAACAGATCTGCTTGTCATCCTTGCTCAGGGGCTATGCTAATCTGTGTATCGTTCCAACTTTAGTAATATGTGTTGCTGAAGTGAGCACTCTGATTATCTTTCTAAACTGATCTCATAACTGTTAGTGAGCTCACCTCTCCTTTCTAATTCTGGTTACAGCAACAATGTGAGAACAGCAATCTTTTAATTCCCAGTGCTTGATGTGAATGCTTGTCTCACTATCCTACTGTATTTGAATCATGGTTCATTAGATCTCCTTGTCCTGAATATTGAATGACAACTGCTTTTGCTTAAAAGTAATACCCATCTCTCCATTTCACTCCGAATCACTTATGTCCAGAGATCAACCTCTATTTGCCATTCTGTATATGCTTGGCACAGTCACAGGAAGAGTGGCAACAGGGGCTTCTGAATCATAATAAACCATTTCATTATGTGGAAATCTAGCCCTCCTCTTATGCTTATCTTGAAATGACCAGGAAATAGATCAACTGATATGATTTTCTTTTGATTCTACCATGGCACTCTTAGAACTTATTTGTTTTTACTTTAGAGGTCCATTTGCCTGCAGAAAAATATATAGTTTGAAATATTTGAAGTAATTTTTCTCTCTACCATCAAATAAGTAGGACCTTCCTATGTGTACTTTGTTTTCCCTTCATATTTTTGCCAAAAGGCTCTTGCACTCCCCAGAGAGAGCTAGTGAGATGGACAGTAAGAAATCATCCCCCAGGGTATGGCCATGTTACAATCCCTTCTCCTCCATTCTCCTCTTGGGATTCTGGGCAAGCACTCACATGCACCCAATGTAATTTTCAAGCCACCAGGTCCGAGGCTCGAACTCCCACATCGACCATGTTGGAGTACAGCACCTTAACCACCAGGCTACTTTCTGCCCATCCCCCATGTGCTAGTCTAAGAACTCATTACTATACTTCCTATAAGATGTCCCAATACAGTACTAGAGGATATCAAGCATAATTTTCTAAAATATTCAGGAAGCTAGTGTTGTATGCTGGACTTCATTATGATATGTTGAAAACACAGACAAATGCAAATAGCTGAGTAGAAGCTGGACAAAGAGGAGGCTGACAAATAGAGCAATGTCCTCTTTCTACCCACTCATTGCCCCTCTCTCAATCTCTCCCCTTGCCTCTGACTTCCTTGTATCAGGAAGAAAATTGGTACATCCATTGTAATTTGTTTTCTTTTTCAGTAAAATTACATTTGATGATGCTCAATGTTATAGCTAGCATTTTTTAAGCCATCCCTCTATGTTAAGCAGAAGATTAATACCTGACATGTATATATTTATAGAATCCCAAAGCAACTCTAAATAGTAAATACTACTTTCACACCTCTTTTATGCCTGGGTTGAATAAGATTTACAGAGGTTATATGATGTTAGGTAAATCATGCATTTATTCCGTATTAGTCCATTCATTACTCTCAACTCCATGTTATTGTCAAAAACTTCAGCCCTAATGTAACTAATAATGACTGAAGCAAGTATTGCTACCAGAAGGCTATTAACTATTAACTAGTAACTCAATTCTAAAATTATTATTGTTAAAAGCAAAACTGAAGCCAGGTTGGTAATATCACTCTGAATTCTGTCCATCTCACTTTCTGTAGTCTTCTGTTACTTATATTGTCTTTTTTTGCCTTTCTACTGGCTTAGCCCAATATATAATACTCTTTTCCTTATCTCAAAATAATAAATAATGTATTTTAGATACCTCTCTAGTTATTATTTCTCCTCCCCTTACAGGCAAGATTCTTGAATGAAGAGTACTAATATATACTCTGATTTCTCACACTTCCTATTAATTCAACTTTTTGCAGTCTGGTTTCTGATGATACTATATCACTATTAGCACCAAAAATCTCCTTCTTGCTAAATCTAGTAAGTATTTTCAGTCCTTAGTCTTCTCTGTAAAGTTCTTGATATCCACAACTACGGATGCCTTCTTTCTTGAGATAATTTCTTTGGTATCTGTATCATCATTTTCTACTTTTGTTCCTTCTACGATTCTTCCTTTCTTATTCTATTTTATAATGTTCTCTTCTTGTATTCTTCTCTTACATTTCTGTTTTCCTTTTTTTCCCTTGGTTTCCTTCTCCACTTTCCATGACACTGCCCTTTCCCAAGTGTTCTCATGCATGCATATACTATTAAACCTCAGCTTTCTCATTCCAGCCAAGATCTCTAACCTCAGCACTAGGCTTTTATCTGACTAACCAATAAGGCTCTCTTATCCCACAATTTCTTGTCTCACTAGAAATTCAAACCCAACATGGTCAACATTTTCCCAAAAAAAAACCTCTTACTGTGATTTTCAAATTCTGAATATCACTACCCATTGTCCCAAGATGAAAACTTAATGACCTTTAATTTCTTCTTCTCTTTTCTCATACACATGCAATTGAATAACAAATCCTATCAATTCTGATTCCTCAGTCTCCCACCTACCTTCATTTACACTGTTGGTGCTTAATTTCAGACATTGCCACCTATATTCCAACCTCCAAATTGATCTCGCATCTCCAGTCTGCCCCCAGTACCTCACCCAATTCCATCTTTAGACTGGCTAAATACATTTTGTAAAAACACAAAATGGTTAATACACTCCTCCAGTAGCTCTATGCTGCTTCCAAATTTTTACAAAATCATGAGAGTTTAGACCCTTGGTTTACTCTCCAATCTGGTCTATTACTATTTATTCTGCCTTCTGCTTGGGTCCTGAACTATTTGAAGTTTTCCAAGCACATTAAACTTGCTCCTACCTCAAGGCCTCTGCGGGGGCCTTAACCCAGGTTGCTCCATATTTCCTTAGGCTTGTTGAATCTTTCATTGGGCTTCAAGATTCAGTATAGACATCACCTCCTCTAAGAGCACTTTCCTGGCATTCAGAGTTCTCTTGTCCCACACATATGGTGCACACCCAATAATTAGTACTTATTAAACTCTGTTGTCTTTTTTTTTTTTTTTGGTAGGTTTGTTTGGTTTGGTTTTGTTTTTGCATGATAGTATGCCCACTGGAGAGAGACAAAGAGAGGAAAAGTGAGAAATCACTCCCTGGGGGCATGGGCCACATCACAATTCCTTCTCCTCTATTCTCCTCCTAGGATTTTAGGCACACATGCACACATGCCCTGCATGATTTTCAAGCCTCCAACTCTAGCACTTGAACCACTGTCAGCCATGTGCAAGTCCATAACCTTTATTAACGTGCCACCTGTTGGCCCCACCATTTTTTCTTGTCTGTTTTTCTCAGCAGACATTACACTCTTCAAGGGCAGGGACAATGTAAAGCTAAATCAATGTGAAGAGTGGCCAATACAAATTTCAATATAAAATTGCATTTTGGTAAGAATTCTCTAAGCAAGGCTTCAAATTGTGTATTTCTTCTGCATGATCTAGTAGTCTACAAATGAATACTTCATAAAGTGAATAACATTCTTTTTTCATTATCAGATTGATGCTGTGATGAAAAATATCTAGTAACCTTGGTGCTTTTGTATTATCTTGGGTAAGTATATTTTTTAAGCTGCAACAGCAAAGAATTCAGCATTGTGCAATGTATTTTTAAAATCATAGATGGGAAGGAGGCTTTAACTTATCTGTCTTAGTGTGTGTTCAAAGTTATTTTCCAGATGAGATTCTCTAGAAGAGTTAAAGAGCTTACACAAGTACACACAGCTAACGTAGGTCAAATTTAAGTTTGGAGTTCAGGGTCTCTGGCTCCCAGCCTGGTGCTAAATCCATCCTGACCTCACATCTAGAATAATGACAACATACAGAACATATAAGGAATTTGATACACTTTAGCAGAAAAAAAACTCTGAGTTTAAGGACAAGGTTTATCAAGTCTTGAAAGTAACAAAGCAGGGTCCCTAGGAGGAAAGAAGCATTATTTTTCAACTAAAGCAACATGGTTGAAATAGTGACACTTGCTTCTTTCAGATATTATATTTTCACTCACTTAAAATTAGCCAATAAAGATATTAAAAAGTAAAATAGCAATAGCTTTTTTTTAGACATAACACCTTAAACTAAAGGTAACCTCAACTATGCACATTTCAACAAATGTATCTCTCTCCAGGTATTCATTTAAAAAATATTACAGGTGCCAGCAGGTGGTGTAGTGGCTAAGGTGCTGGACTCCCACGTGCTCAACCATGATTCGAGACCCAGACCCGGCAGCTTGAAAAATCACACCAGGCACATGTACATATGTACCCAAAATCCCAAAAGGAGAATGAAGGAGAACAAATAGCAGCAAGGCCATCCTCCCTAGAAGATTATTTCTCACTTTCCTTCTCTGTCTCTCTCTGTCTCTTTGGCAAGTGTACACACGCCCTATGGCAAAAAAAAAAAAAAAGACCTTTAAAAATATATTACATCTAAGATTTAAAGATACAAATAGTTTATCTCAGATTTTAGTTGAATGAAATTTGTTCAAATAGATCAAATTTTTATTTTCTTGACTGACAACTTGGCCCCAAATGATGTGGAAATCAAACTTCATACCATTGACTAACAAAATTAAATCATTTCATCATATTCAATTTTTCAACCATTTATTATTTGAGTCATCTGAAGTACTAAAACATAAAGTTAATATTCTGAGACAGTACAAAAGGAGAGTCAGGGAAACTCATTTCTGGGATTATTCAGTCAGAAATAGAGTCTCCACTCCAAATATCTATCTTTATGAACTTGAACAAGTTGTCTACACCGCCTAAAGCTCAGTCTCCTTAATCGTATATTGACAATTTCAATATCTACTTTGTGTGTTACTGTAATGACTGAGATGATCATGTGCATGAAATGTGTAAAAAAACAAGTACGAGTGTAATCTTAGCAAAGTTGTTCTCCTGCTGCTTCTACTAGACATTATGAATATAAACTAAAAATTTTCCCTACTGCACACAGATATTATGTCCTAAATGTAAGGTTCTCTAAATAATTTTCTCACTCTGAGGCATAAATAAACTCACTGATGACGATAAAAGATGGAATTTCTTGATCCGTACAAATAGAACTGTGCTATAACTCTATTATATTGTCTAGAAAAGAGAAAACAGTATGAAGGGACTCATTGCTTCAATACATAGTAGAATATAATTTGATAAAAAACACACTCATCAGTATTTTACTAAAATAAAAGCTACTGAATTACTTCTCAGTTCCACGATTAAAGTTTCTTATTATGATATTGGTTGCTTATTTGCTCTGGCAATGATTATTCATTCTCACAGAGCAGAAAGTCACATACATCATTAGCTTAAAGCAAAACACTGTACAATGTACCTTTTTTTTTGAAAGAGAGAGAGATTTTTGCTATACAATGTATTCGCCAGGAAGAGAGACAGAGAAACAAAAAGAGAGAACTCACCCCACCAGGGGGGGATGGCCACAATACAATCTCTTCTCCTCCATTTTCCTCTTGAGATCTTGGGCACACACGAACACACACCTGGCATGAGTTTCAAATCGCCGGGTCCAGGGCTTAAACCACAGTCAACCATGTGGGAATCCAGTATCCAGTGCCCCAACCACTACACCACCTGCTGGCCCCCGTATAATGTACCTTTGCATAACTACAGCAGTATGTTTATATGCCTTCACTATTAGTACTAGAAACTTTTTTTTTTTTTAATTTGCCAGAGGCTGTGTACACACATCAGAGAGGAAGAAGGAGCACCACAAGAGCACACCTCTAAAGGACTGTGGTCATGCCACAATCCCTTCTTCATTTCTCCAGCTCCCTTAACCATTAGGCCACAGGATTGGCCCAGCTTGGGGATTTTCTTACTTCTCTTATCCTGGACCCCTAAGTTGGGCCATAGTGGATGTATGGGTCATGCTAGGCAAGTTTGTCTTTGGCATAAACATAAGAATAGCATGATTTGTATGTGTCTGTTGAGTTGTATTATAGATGCTGCCTGCTCTTTTTCTAACATATTCATTTCCATTATTCTCAAAGACCTACAGCTGGAACCACCATGGAGCATGACCTCTGATGGCCGAACCTGAGCAAAACTGCTGAGTTTCTAGGGAAACAACTAGGATACTCCCTACTTTTTCCAGCTACAATCTTTTCGTACAACCATAAGTATGATGATTTGTTGTCAAAATAAATTGAAATATAATACACACTATTAATATGAATTAAAATGATCTTAATCTTTAGAATGTTGATCTGTAGAATCATTCCCTGTGTCTTAGAGATCCAAAGGCTGGCAGCCTCAAACCCATAAGCTTCTACGGCCTTCTAAATCTCCTCTATTTCTCTGTAAGAGATTCACAATATAAAGCGTATTTTACAATTCCCAGCACACTAACTTCCGATCCCTGATTGCTTTTCAGGCTTAGTAGGAACCATTAAGGAAAAGATAGCCAGCCTTCCACCATAACTCACTTCTTACCATAAACAAACAAAAATTCCAGAGGCTACCTTCTTGTTTCCCACTACGAGTTGTATGGCATTTATTTTGGAGAAAGAAAATTTTTATGGCCAGGACAAGTTTACTTTTTGCTAAAGACTTCTGAGAGCCACTTATTGAGACAAATTTCTAAAAATACCGCTGGTTTACAGCTTAACCCCATGTATATATGCCATCTCTTGTTTGTTTGTTTTTGCTTTAGGGTATGTAGATTTGCTGCCAGAGAGAGAAAGTGAGAAATACCCCCACCCCCAGGAGGGATAGCCATGCTGCAATCCCTTCTCCTCTATTCTGTTCTCAGGATCTCGGACGGACACACACACACACACACACACGCACGCACGCATGTACGCATGTATGCCTAGCATGATTTTCAATCTACTGGATCCTGAACTTAAATAACAGTGTTAGCTAAGTGTGACCCAGTCCCTCTTAATGACACATGCTGGCCCAGTATACATGATATTATACGTGTCTTCTTTGCAGGGAAAATGGAGGTGTTCTAACTCTATGTTCTGCCCTAGAAGACCATATGTTCAGAATGAACAGTTCTCTCAAACTAAGACAAGCCAAGGAAAACTGTCTATATGTACAGTTAATTGCATCAGGGAATTTGAATTCACCTCATGATACATATGGGTTCATATCATAGAGATGAAGGATATTTATGGGAAATACAACCAAAATCATTTCTGGTCACCCCTCAAAATTCTAAGTCCTAGGAACCAGCAGTTAGCGTAATGGCTATGCCGCGGGACTCCCACGTAGTCGACCGCGGTTCGTGTCCCGGACCCGGTGGCTTAAAACTCACGCCGGGCGCGTGTGCGTGCGTGCCCAAGATCCCGAGAGGAGAATGGAGGAGAAGGGATTGCGGCGTGACCATCCCCCCTGGGGGGTGATTTCTCGCTTTCTGTCTCTATGTCTCTCTCTGTCTGTCTGGCGAGCGCACGCGCCCTACAGTGAAAATCTCTCAAAAAAAAAAAAAAAAAATTCTAAGTCCTAGCAAGGAGTATTGTATTAACTGAGCCAAGGTCAAGCGTCCATGCCTTTAGCCGCCAGAAACTAGAAAATAAAATATTCACCTTCTTGCAGCTTCTGTGACAGAAACTATTACAGCCTGTTTCCATATGGATTCCAAAATGAGACACTAACCTCAAAGAGAACTACTTTGAAGGTATAAAATCAAAAGGCAACACACTATCTAGCACATATTTAGACAGGATTTTAGATTTTTAAAGAAACTTTCACTTCAAAAATTAACTTGCTGAAGTTTCAAACAATTCTCAGAAGTACACAGATGTCATTGATAAAACATAAGGAGACACTCCAGAAACGTGAATTAGTGGTTCATGGTCACAGAGCTAGCTGCACACAAAACAGGGACTTAATTCCAATTCCAGCACTTCATAGATGGTTATTGAGCATGCCCAAAGACTATGTTCTCTGATTAAATTAGTTTTAGAAACACAATATAATTCTCTTTCAAAGAATCAATGTATTGCATATAACTCAGTGTTTCCTAAATTTATTTAACCACTAACCTCCTTTCATTTGAATATTGCCCATAATTATTACTCTCTGAAATTACTTTGGGAAAATTCTGCTCTTATTTGAGAGATTACATTTAGATCCATTAACTACTACCGTAAATGGTTTATTTGCTCAAGCGTTTTTTGTGCTTGACCAAGTAGAGTAGGTATTTTTTGTCACCCAATAGTCAATAAACATTACAAATGCCTAGAGATGTGCTTCACAGTTTCTCCGGATATATTATCCAGCAAACTCTGAATGCCTTTCACCATTTTTTTCTTATATTAAGAATCACTGACCCAAATATTCTGTCAATTTAGTGTAAGAGTTTTAATTTTAGATCTTATATACATCATTAGGCCCACCTTTGTTCCATTTCATAGGAAACAGAGCTCTTTTGATAAGATATTGCCAATAATTATTCTAACCTCTTAAGCACTACCCAACGTTAAAGAATTCCTTTAAAATTTTCATCTACCACTAACCACAGCTAATTTCACCTGTTAATTTCTCTTATATAAGAGGTTCTCATGTTTTTAATACTCACCTGTCACCTTCATCCAAAAACCTGGATTGTTGCCATGACAGAAAACAAGCCAACCAACTTCTGCTTGGTTGCTAAGCCTAACATTTACAAATTGTATCAGTCAGGGCTCTCCCAAGACACAGAAACAATTTGAGAGATGAGATTTCTTTTAATGATTGACTTACGCAGTTGTGGAGCTGTCACATCTGAAATCCGTCAGGCAGGCTGATGGTTTAGAAATTCAGGCAGGATTTCCTCATTACCTTGAGGTAACTTCCTCTCTGGGAAACCTCAGTGTTCATGCTTCATGACATCATCTGATTGGAAGAGACCTACTCACATCATCAATGGTGATCTCTTCTACTTAAAGTCAACTAATGGTAAGTGTTAATGGCATCTACAGAGTACCCTTCCGGCAACGTCTAAACTAATGTTTCACCAAACAAATGGGCACAGTAGCCTAGCCAAGGTGACACATAGCATTTAACTAGCATGCAACCTTCTATTCTTGTCACTTGTAAGGTTTACAGTCTTTCAAGTTGTAGCACTAACTTCCTATGTTTTTATAGATGTCTAGGTCAGCCTGCAGGTGGTTGTTAAACATCACCCGCAAACCATCCTCATAATTGGTCTTCACAGGACTGATGTATTAATATTATTGCCTGGAAATTCTTGAGAAACAAAGCTCCCTTTCATGGAGACTGTAATTTAAAAGCATAAGCAGTGAAAATCCATTCTGTTGTTTAATTCAATAGCAATAGACCCCCAAGAGGCTAGAATTTGACAAGCTGAAATTTTGCTCAATTTTTCATTATAGCTAAATACTGGGTTGTCGGAAAAGCCATGATATATTTTTTCATTCAGTCATGACTTTTCCAACATCCCCATACAAATAAAGTTTAAAACACTGTCTTTTTTTTTTTTTTTTGGAGAGATTTTCACTGTAGGGCGCGTGCGCTCGCCAGACAGACAGAGAGAGACATAGAGACAGAAAGTGAGAAATCACCCCCCAGGGGGGATGGTCACGCCGCAATCCCTTCTCCTCCATTCTCCTCTCGGGATCTTGGGCACGCACGCACATGCGCCCGGCGTGAGTTTTAAGCCACCGGGTCCAGGACATGAACCGCGGTCGACTACGTGGGAGTCCAGCGACATAGCCATTACGCTAACTGCTGGTTCCCAAACCACTGTCTTTTTAAGAAGTTTTTGCCTTAGGGTGCATGAGCTTGCCAAAGAGAGAGATAGAGACAGCAAGAGGGAAAGTGAGAAATTACCCCCAGGGGGATGGCCATGCCACAGTCCCTTCTCTTCCATTCTCCTCCCAGGATCTTGGGCACACATGCACAGGTGCCCGGTGTGAGTTTCAAGCCACCAGGTCCAGGACTCAAACCACAGTCAGCCACATAGGAATCCAGTGACAGAACTGCTAGACCATCTGCTTGGCCCCAAACCATTGATTTTTATGTCTCCCTTTTGTGTACCTTCTCCCCCACACACAGAAGCCTCACCTCACCCAACCTACAACCTAGTAATTCTCAATTTTAGCAGTACATTAGAATCATGGAAAGAATTTTGAAAAAATACCTGTGTCCAGGCCTCCCCCTCAGAGACTCAGACTTCATCAGTCTTCGGTGGAACCGACAGTGCAACCGAGCCTGCAAATTCCTGCTTTAGAAGCCTGTGCCCTCCTGCAAATCTGAACAAGGAAAGCAACTAAACCCTATTGACTCGGTGACAGACCATACCGCAGAGAGAACGCATTTCTAATGTTGCATTTTGTCAATCTGGTAGTGCATTTTGCATATACTGTCCTTCATTTTAGAATGAAACATTTATCTCCCGCTACAGAAACATAATCACGTCAACAGATTGATTTTCCCAGAAGCTATCTCATTTGTGTCCATTTCTTCGAGCACCTGAACTCTGACGTGAAAGCCCAACACCACTATAAGGCTCCCAGTTTCATAATTTTATGCTTTTAGTAACTTCTCATTTGCAGTTAAGGATAGCAGTACCCCTTACCCATCTATAGATCAGGGGCTTGGGACTCCTGTATTGTTTCCACCCCAGTGAGAAAGTTTCTAAGAATGAATTAGTTGACTGTGTCTAGAAACAGAAGCGTAATTCTCTGCATCTGTTATATAGTTACACCATGAAAAGCCTCAAAAGAAAATGCCTGTTTCAAATAAAAACCTTTGGCTCCACCTTGTGGATGCTCTCTCTAAACGCAGATTGCTTTGCAGAATACATTCCGAAATTGGATCTGATTTTTTTTTAGGTTTTTGCCTTAGGGCACGTGTGCTCACCAGAGAGAAACAGAGAGAAGGGGGTGATAAATCACCCCCTCTGAGGTCTGTGTGTGTGTGGGGAGGTGGGGGGCAATGGCCATGCCACAATCCCCTCTCCTCCACTCTCCTCTCCAGATTTTGAGCATACGGGCACACGTGCACACACACCGGGCGTGACTTTCAAGCCACTGGGTCCAAGACTCAAACGGCGTGACCCTCAAGCCACTGGGTCCAAGACTCAAACTATGTTTGGCCTTGCGGAAGTCCAGTGCCTTAACCACCATGCCACCTGCTGGCCCCCTGAAATCAGATCGTAATAAAACCCATAACACAAAATCATCTAAAAGTATTTACTTTGTGCTTCAATTCTACTTAAAACAACATGAAAATCAGTTAACAGAA